TTTTCAATCCCAAAATTCCCATAGTTCACTAACTTGAACTTTACATGATTCCATCACAAAGTAGATATTTATTGAATTTTTGTTACCTAACATATTATATATATGCATATCAGTAAAATTCACAATGCTTGCATGTTATTTATTGTAGTTGCCATCATGTCAAATTTGTGTTACCCTACTATAATTGATTCTCATTTTGCTCAAATCATATGCAAAATGACTTTTAGCAAAAAAATTTTCAGATGTTAGGTAGAATAGAGAATGAATTATATCTTAACTATACCAGGAGTATTGGATAATTAAGATGTTGGAGTAAATTAATTTTAATTAAAATGAAACTTCATTTATAATTGAAATAGAATTATAATTTGTCTAAGTTTACTCTCCACCTAGAATATTAACAGACAAACGATTGTTTTGGCTTGAAATGATAGTGGCATTGTAGAATTGACAGCATGTGTACATGGTGGATGATGGCTGCATATTCAGAACCTAGATGTTGCCATGTGCACAAATGATTTTCTCCAGAATGAAACTCATATCGTTACAATCTTACTTCACAAATATGAGTAAGTGTATATTAGTTCAATTACTTCGTTAGAATGAAAAGATTCAATAAATTATAATCACTTAAGATTGCATGTAAATCATTTTCTAACCAAACAAGAAATAACTAATCATCAAAAAAATTTTAGACAACAAATAGTCTAATAAGCGAACCAGAAAAAAGGTAGGCTGATATTATGGTAATTTCAACAAACAGTTAGGACTTCAAATTAGGATTCCTATTTGATTCCATCATCTACATCGAGACTCAAGAGCAAGCAGCTAAAAGAGAATAGGATGATGCAGTGAATAGGAACGGGTGACATACAACAATCCTGTTCATAAAAAGGATTTTCCATATGATATTGAAAGAAGGTTGCCAGTTTCAGTTAGGAGTTCAATGGTCTTCACTGTTGCAGTGAACCCTCTGTACTCTGGCCTACAAAGACAATACAATACTAGTTATTATTGAGTTATTTATATATAATTTTTATACTAAGTTTTTAGTATCTGAAAATTACATTAGACCTCAATTAATTCAAAATCGAGTTGCGTCAGACCTTATAAAGGAGTAAGTTCTCTCAACATTTATTTCTCCATTTATAAGACTCAAATTTAAGATTTTATTTAAGAAAAACTAATTTTTTTCTACTTAAACCAATTAGTGTTATTTATATCCTTTGATACAATGCCAGTTTGATTTTTCAGGTTTGTAGTAATTGTCATCTTGTCATGGGCGGATAGGCCCAACGGACCAGTGAAAGACAACGTCAACTGGGCTTAGCCAGCCCAGATTTAGACGTATAGAGGAAGAGATTATTTACGGAACGACGCCGTTGGAAGTCGTCTCTGTATTCTACCCCCACCGGTTTTCAATCTGCTACCGCCGCATCGAAGTGAGGCCTCAATCATCAGTTCCCCTAATCGTCTTGCCTCTTGAAGCTCCCTCCCATGGCTTCATCTTCTTCAACCGTAACGGCGGAGAGGAGGGGAATTCCGGCGGCTCAATTCGTAGAAGATGTTGAGACCTATCTCTCTCAATCTGGACTCGACGTCAACTCCGCCCTCTCTTTCCTCCAAGAAAGGTCTATCCTTTTCCTTCCTTTCTCATGTTCTTAATTGAAATACTGCTTTGAAGCTTGTGAATTTTGAGCATATCTCACCCTTTGATTGATCCCGCTGACTCTTGCTTTCGTTCTAACTTCTTCCTCATGATTTGATGAGGAAGGGAGCTTATTACTCTGAAGTATCGATTTTTAGTTTAGTTTTTCAGTTCAGAATAAATTTTGTTGCATTAATTTTGATTTGTTTTGGTATTTAAATTATGAAGTTAGAGGTTTAACTTGTTTTGTAATGTATTTCCTAAAAAAATTGCAGACTTCAGCAGTATAAGCTGGTTGAGATGAAACTTCTTGCCCAGCAACGAGATCTTCAGGTAATTTTTTGGGGTCTTTTTCTTCTTGTTTGTCTATTCTAAATGCTAAAAATTGGATCTTTACTTTAGTTTCAGTATCAAATCATGGAATGAAGTTTAATTCTGTGATTAGCTTCAGAAATTCTAATAGCAATACTATCGTGACCCATGTGCTGACGCCTACGAGGTCGAAATGTTCTATTTTTTATAACTGGATGAATTTGCAAACAACTTGGAATGATACCAAGTTAAAAATCTGCACTAAACAATCTCATTACTCTGAGACCATCATCCAAAATGTGGAAAAGAATTAAGTTTTATTCTTTCCTCTTTCTGGGATGGCAATCCATTTAAGGTCGTTAATTTAGAGCATTTTGATGTTTAAGATCTAACTCTTTTATTTACTTGTTTAGTGCTTTCTTAACTACTCTAATTCACTTAGACTTTTTTTGTTATCAGGCAAAGATCCCTGACATTGAGAAGTGCCTGGATGTAGTTGCTACATTGCAAGCTAAGAAGGGTGCTGGTGAGGTTCGTTTTTGTCTGTTATCTTATAATTTATGTTTGAGATGCTGGATTGCTTTATTTGAAGAAGTAAATTCATCCCCTGATGCTGTATTTGGCAGTATTGATAGCAAAGGCGGTAGTCACTGGTCAAGTAACAGACTCACGAATGTTGTTTATTTCTTTGGGAGTGCATGTAATTTTTGAAGACAATGGTTCTCAATTAATCTGATATGTGTTTTGATGAGAAATGTTAATCACTTTGATAAGTGCTTTAACCTTTTGACCACTTTGAATCTTAACTTGATTTGAGATGTGTATTGCAGCAAGTAATTGTAATATCTATTTGAAGTGATAATGGGGGGCTGGGGGGTTTCTAAGTTCAGTTCTTTTCTTCTGATTATGAAGATCATTACTTCTTTCAAGTTGATAATGAACATTATGTTTGCTTGCATCTTAGTCTTGTCGTGCTAGGGTTCACTAAACAGAAGATATTGCCAGTGTTCAAACATTAATTACATTGGATGGTCTTGGCTAACTAGTAAAGAAATCATTACTTCTGGGTTCTTCTTACACTTCTCAGGGGCCACAGTTTTTGACATCATTTTCTTAGTCTTCTGTTAAGCAGGCAGGGGTCTGTCTGGTCCTTGGCCTCCCTTCTTCAGCTTCAGTCAGGAAACACTCAAATGTTTTTCTTTACTATCATTTGATTGCATAGACAGAGTCATTGCAGGCTATTTTACCATGTAATGGGCTGTTGTGTATCTTCATAAGGTCCACCTTAGATAGTGTAATAAAATCTCAGGAACCCAAAACGTAGTATTGCTGGCCTTTTATTGACTATTATTTGGGCCAAAATCATATAAATTGTTTGAGGTCAAGGCTTGATTTTTAGAATGATAACTTTGGAGTTTGGAATTGTAGATCTAATTGGCTAAATACTCAGATTGATGCACTCAATCTTACATGCATGTTTCTTTTACAGAGGGGATTAAAGGTAACAAGCTAGGTGCTCTATCCTCTTTAACTTTTCACTAATGAAATTGCATGTTGTTTTGGTTCTGTTTTTGGGAACAGGCACTCATTGCTGATTTTGAAGTCTCTGAAGGCATCTATTCACGTGCTCGTATTGAGGATTCAGAGTCAGTGTGTTTATGGCTTGGAGCAAATGTCATGTTGGAATATTCATGCGAAGAGGTCCAGCACTTTTTACTTGGAAGCTTTATGATGCCTTTCTGTGCTGTAAGCCTGTAACAACATAAGAATAAAAATTCTTCTATAACTTTGTGATGCAGGCCACAGCCCTTCTACAAAAGAATTTGGAGAATGCGAAAGCAAGTTTAGAAGTTCTTATTGCTGACCTGCAGTTTTTGAGGGATCAAGTGACAATAACTCAGGTATACTGGTGCAATATAAAGTTTTGTGCTTTTGAATGTTGAAATTAAATGGCTCCAGGCTTTTCTAACCTGAAAGAAAGGCTTTGGTTGTATTCAGCTTGTTTTAATCCAAGAGACACTTATATTATAAATGTGGCTTTTTCCAAAGTAGATAGCTGACAATTTAATTTGCATGTATGCTTAAGTTGACCTGTTTCCTACTGGTTGCTTTTATTTACCGTGAACAAAACTGGTTTATGTTGTTGACTCTTACTATTGCCCAGGTAACCATTGCTCGTGTGTATAATTGGGATGTCCATCAGCGTAGAATTCGACAAGCTGCTTCTCCTTCTAAAGATTCATGAAATGAGAATCCCTTTCTCTGATTGAGAGATAGGGAGAACTTTTTGTTGCTAAATTGAGAGTATGGCTCTATCCCTTGCTCACATTATTCCTATAAGCATGTGAGTTGTCTCTGTATTTTCTAGTAATGTAATTTTAACTCCATGGTCTCACCATAGCTAAACCATTGAAATCCAGACTCATGTTCATTAAATCATGTGGATGAAATCATTAATTTACTAGGAGCAAGTTTGGATTTATGCTAGAACTTTGGGAAACATGTAAGATCTCTTTTTGCTGCAATTTGTTCTCTTTTTTATTTTATTTTATTTTTTTTCCGTAATCCCGTCGCCTTCAATCACCTTCTATTGTTGAGTTGTCTCATTTTGATTTTCTAATTTTGGATTCTACTCATTTGGCAATAAGCTATTGTTCAAAACTTGAAAACTTTTAGCAGGTAAAGGGGATGAACAGAGCCCCAAGTTGCCTTAATGCAAAAGTAATCTGTCGGCAAAACACCGCCAGATATATCAGCAAGGTGTCTGGTCTGTAGTTATTAATTGATCTTGAACGATGTCAGATCAAATCTTATCCTTAAAAATAAAAAGGGCAACAGATCTAGATGTTTTGAATTATAATACCAAGTTCTGCTTTTTGTCAGAAATGACCAAAGTGTTAGGAATGATTTTATTTTGAAGCAAAACTGGAAGTTCCTTTAGAAAATGGGAAATCATCATAATGTAAAATTTCTCTGTTATTTTTATTGCTTCACATATGAAGCTGAA